GAGAGCCAGGGCCGCCCCCGCCGAAGTCCCGAGGCCCGGAGCAGGAAGAGGGGTCGGCGAGGCAGGCGCCCCAACCGCCGCCGCCTGAGGAGGAGGGGGCCGAGGACCGGGCCGCGGTGCGGGCGAGCTGGGAGCCGCCGGGGGACGGAGCAGGGCTGCCGCCGCGGGAGGCCCGGGAAGGCGAGGGGGCCGCGCGGCGCGCGCCCAGGAGCCCGGAGCCGCCGCCGCCGGAGGGAAGCGCCCAGGACGACAAGGGCGACAGGTCGCCGCGGAGCCCTGAGCCGGCCAAGGAGCGCCTGCGTTTCCAGGTGAGGCCCCAGTCGGCCAGGGAACTGGCCTGGGGTGCAGAGATGTGTGTCCGCCTGGTTCCCGCCCCTGCCCTCGCCCTGGGGCTGCTCAGGACACGTGGAGGCACCAGGCTTCCTGAGGGACCTGGCGCGTTTGTGTGCCTTTCCGCAGCCGCTGACACCTACCTTTCTCCATCAGTAGAATTAGTTGTGGCCTGATGGTTGTTGACGGCGATTTAAAAACCTCGTCTCCACAGGTTGGCGAGGGAGACGCCCTTTTAACATTCTTATTCCGAGCGTGTTTGCCGCCTAAAACTCAGGTGTGGGCACAGAGTCGCGTTGATTGCACCTGTGGATGGTCTAGGATGGGTACGCAGAGCATCAGAAGGTGAACTTGCTGGCAGGAGAGTCATTCCCAAGGACCCCACTCACGTTTCCGAGTTGAATGTGGCAAAAGCCTTATTTAATGGTCGAACTTCTGGGGTGCTGGTCAGCTCGCCCCTAACTGATTCTTGCCCAAATTGCCAGGCTTCTATCGGAAGCTAGAGCTACTGTAGTGCCTCTCTCAGGACCTTTCCTTGCTCCGAAAAAGCACCCCTACTCAGAAACTGCTGACGCATTTGGGCTGAGGTGTAACACTGCCTTCGAGCGTGGCAGGTTTGGAGGGCCAGCCAGTTCACACTAGCTGAGCCCTAAAGAGCTAGGAAAGTGGGAAGGCATGAGCTGTACCAAGAGGCCAGAAGGAGTCCTTCCACAGCCACCCCAGGCTGTTAGGGTGGGGGGGCAGTGTGGGAAGGAGGGGAGTGAATCAAGAAGTTACACACAAGCCATGTGTGATCTTCACCTTTCTGGACTTGAGTTTGCTCACCTGTGAAGTTGCTCTGAGTACTCTCCAAAGGCCCTTCCAATTATATAGGCCTAACTCCCCAAACTTGTTTACAACTGTGTTCTAATTGGAAGGGAAGAAAGCTTAATTAAGAAGGCAATACTACTTTAGTTCATGTTAAACATGAATTGTGGCTTCTCCACCATTTAGATTCCTAGCACTACTGTTTGGTGGAAATTTAGCAGCATAGAGAACTTAATCTTGGGTGAACACTGCAAAATATGTTAGGATGCAGAGTGTTATTCCTTTTTATCAACTTAACCACTTCCATATGTATATGTTCTAAAATCCGACTTTATCCCACAGAGAAAAGGCCACCCTAAAGAATCTCTAGGTTTAGAGAACACTGGATGTTTGGCTTTTCCTTTGCCTGTCTGAGGCGAGACACCTATTTAATAACTTGTCAATTAATTTGCTTTACGAACCAAATTAATCAGCATACAGACTTTCCGGGTCCATGCCTCCTTATCTGCTAAGTCATTAGCTCACCTAATTACTGCCTTTAGAGACCGATTTGAACCTGACCCTACTTCCCTCCATAATCTGGAATGAAGCTGGCAATTTTAAGTATCAGATAGACCCTTCCCAGCTTCTGAAATGAAGGAGAATAATGCGGATGTCATGTTGGTTAAACTCTGGTATCCTTTTGTTCAGTTCTTGGAGCAGAAATATGGCTATTATCACTGCAAGGAGTGTAACATCCGATGGGAAAGTGCTTATGTGTGGTGTGTACAGGGCACAAACAAGGTAAGAGATACCATGTAACTCACGTCTTTTTGACCAAAGTGTCAAGAGGGGTTTTGCTTTAAGCTTTCCCTGTCTCTTCATCATAGGTTTACTTCAAGCAGTTTTGCAGAACTTGTCAGAAGTCTTACAACCCTTACCGAGTGGAGGATATTACCTGTCAAGTAAGTCAAATGTTTGCATTTTGTGTCTGAACAGAGTGGAGGTAGAGGGTGTTGGTGTAGTTTCTTGAGTGTATTTCCTAGAAGAGGCGAGGTTCCCAGTGACCTCCCAGTTTTGACAGCTTTTTGGTGGGAGTTTAGAAATAATACTCCACTGGGAAACAGGGTCTCGGTGTCAGTTTCCTTCTGCCCTTACGAATCTTGGTCATGTTAACATCTTTAGAGACTGTTCCCTCACTTGCAATATGGAAGAATGTATGCCTTACCTGCTGCTCGGGCTAATGTAAGAGAAAGCAAAATGAAACATAGAATACCTTTCTACTAACATGAGGTGGTCAAGTTTGCCTATTTTGCCTAAGTGCTTTTTATGAAGCGTATTACCCAAGTTGAAGTATTTAGTGTAAGCACAGTTTTAAAGTTCAGCCTTGCCTGAGAACTTGCAAAAGGAAGAGGATTTGTTTTAAAGGAAATCTAAGTTGCCCAGCTTTATGGGGTTAAGTGGTAACGTTGCTTGTTTATTAACTAAGTACTGCACTGTGCTTAGGGGCTTCGATAACAGGAAAGAGGTGACTAAACTTGGCAGTTATCACAGTCAGTGGAGCCTGACTTACCAGCTCAGAGAGCCTAATCAATGCACTTGATTCAAGTTGGACATTGAAAACATGATCGCCATAAGTTGGGTGGAGAGAAACTAAGTATGGAAAACTGTTTAGACTCACTTAGATCGTGGCGCAGAGTAGGGTAAGGTTCCAGTGTATGATGTCTTAACCACTCTGCTCTTGGCTCAGCAGTTGCTGCTTTGCCTTCTGCCTCAGCTTGAGGTCATTTGCAGCAGGCTGGGGTGGGGGAGGCCAGGTCCGCCACTGATGGAGGCCAGGCCTGACCCACAGCTTGCTCCTGGTCACTAGCCTCACATAATGGCTTTCCTTGTTCTGCGGTGCGTTTAAACTCCTCACTCCTGCTTGTGTGTTCTCCACACAAGTGCAGGAAGAGACTTCCTGTGAGACAGTTTCCAAGGAAACTTCACAATTCTGAACTAAATCCTTTGCAGCGCGAGCCCATGACAAATGGTTCAACACCCTCTCTTCCCAACCCTAGCCTTGTGGACTTGCCCATCAGAAGGGACATAGACAACAAGGTTAGCACAGGGCCTTGCTTAGGCTGCATAAAGTATTTGAATGGACGAGAAAAATCTTTTGAAGTTCTAGGAAGTCACCAAGGGTTTCTCTTCTGTATGTGCTTCTCACTTTGACTTTTTTTCAGAGTTGTAAACAGACTAGATGCTCCTGCTCAGTAAAACTTCGCCACGTTGACCCTAAACGACCCCATCGTCAAGACTTGTGTGGGAGATGCAAAGGCAAACGCCTGTCCTGTGACAGCACTTTCAGCTTCAAATATATCATTTAAATGAGTGTAAAAACCCATCCTGCACTGTGCTAGCAGAGCAGACAAGGGGAGCTTTTCTTCATCTCTCCTCCTTTCTCCCTCTCCCTCCTCCAAGTACTTCATAAAAGGCTGTATTTTTGACGAAGCCTTTAAATAAAAGTATTGCAAAGCAATTGATAGATTTCATAAAATCTTGTTTTTTAAAAATAAAGGTTTAGAAGAGCTTGTCCTGTGCTAACAGTCTGGGCCTGTCACTTGACTAATAATTCGTTCCTCGCCTATGGAGCAGCCAGGCTCCGAGCTGTATTAGTCCCTTGAGAAACGGTTTAGAGGGGCTCCTAGCTGGGAGGCTTACTGCTCATGTGGATCTGAAGCTTACAAGAGAGGCCATCTAACCATTAAAGCATGTTTCTGAAGGAGGTGGCGGCAAGGCCAGGACAAGGCGTGGACAGGTGGGGGTAACCCTGGGTGGCTGACGGTGCCTGGGAGTTTCAGTACCTGCCGGTGATGTGTTTAGTAGGTAACAAATTACTGGGTGAGGGAAGCTGAATAAAACAGTTGTTAATCACAATTTCACAGATGGGGCTTAGAACAGGTGGCTAAGGGCAGATTCTTTAAGATGTTATAGAACTTCATCCAATGGACTTCAGGTGGTAACTTTTCAAAGAGGCCTAAGTGTACCTAAAAGATTTCCAAGTGAGTTTGACAGCTTTAGCTTTTGTTGACTTGCAGTTCTAGAACTGGACAGTGTCTTGCGCTACCTAACATAGGGAGTCGCATCCTAACTGCACCCAACAGCTACCTACATGATTCCCCAGAAAACAGAGGCCCCATTCCCAGAGCTCTCCTGGTCAGGGATGGCATGTCGGTGAGGGCCTCAGGGGACTCAATGAAATCAGCTGAGGGCTATTGGTTTAATGGTTCCAGAAACCACATAATAGGAGAGGTGCTAGTTATGCCTCCTTCCAATTTTCTAACCAGTCTGTTTAACCCCCGACGGGCCATAAAAGTCAGTCTGTTAACATCTTAGATGCTTGTGTCTAGAAATGCGAGGAATAAAGGACCCTAAAATGAGTTGGAGGTCTCTTAGAGCCCTTACGGTAAGGGGAAAGGCCCAGCTACATCCATAGGGACCTGGAGAGGTGCTTGTAAAAATGCACATTCTTAGGCCCCTACCACCCAATCATTAAAGCACTTAACAAGCACCGTAGGTGTTGCTTATAGAATTGAAATGTGAAACCCAGCCGTTAAGTGAGGTTTGCACTTACTACAGAAAAACAGGTGTGCCCTCTGGCGTTCTAGAGCTTCCCGTGCAGTGGGTAAGATGGCCATTAATTTACGCTTAAAGTAAAATGCAAGTTCTGCCATGTGAACATGGAAGAGCTAGTTAAGTGCCTGTAATAGAGGATCAGACTCGGAGAGGTGAGACTTGCTTAAAAAATAACACTTCAGCTGAGCTGAAGTTTGGGTGAGTTGAATTAGGTGAAGAGGAAGAAATTTTCCAGACTAAGCTAACACTCAGTCTGCACTAACTAAGCTAGCACTAACACTGAGTGCTAAAGGCTCAGTGGTAGATAAATAGGAGGAAACCACAGTTGCAGAACAGGGGTGGGCATGACGCTGAGTAAGTCTGGCAGGACTTCTTAGACCTTGCTCAGGACTGCTTTTCTCATCAGTGAGAATCTAGTGAAAGATTTTAAAGCTGTGGTGGGGCACAGTGACAGATTCACCTCTAAAAAGAAATCACTGTAGAGTGGATGCCTGTATACCAGTAAGAAGACACCAAGATTGATAAAATGGTGGAGGGGCGAGAGTAACAAGTGACAAGAACTCGAGGTGTGGGTGAAGGTGATGTGTTTCATTCTGACACCTGTCACTGATTTGGTTGAGGATAAGGACAGGGATAGGACACATTTGACTCACATGGCATGCAAGTGGTATATAATATGTACTCAATAAGCATTTGCTGAATGAATGAGGGAACAATAGACACTGCAATGGGTCCTAACAGAAATTCACTGGCTATTAACATGGGTAGTTATATCATTCTTTAATTCTGCTTGCCATTCATTTTCCTAATATGACAGCTAATCTTATTTTAGAGTTGAGGAAAGCAAGGATCAAACTTTTTTTTACTTTAGTAGGCATTCAGACACTGGATGAAGTGTCACAAAATCATCTTTGTTAGTGATTTAACAAAGTTAAATCATAAGTTAGTGTTAACATTCTAGCAATGAGAAGGTACTGTTAAATTTTATGTGTACAATCAGAAATTTATAAAATGAATTTTTTCGAGTGAGAGATTGAGAGGCTAGAAGGAAATACTCCAGATTCTATTTTTGGGTGTCAAGAGAAGTGATTCTAATTTTCTTCACATGTCCTACATTTGCTAAAGTGACAGTGGGTTTGAATAAAGTCATAATACACAACTATAATCACATTGATTCGAATATCCTATTTTCTTCCCTTTAGATCATGCTGGTGTGGTGTCTGAGCAGCTCTCACAGACCCACAGGAGGGGAGCTTATGCTGAGCTGGTGAGTCTGTTCCAAGAGAACGTGTAACTGCTTCCTAAATTTAGGGTACATTGTAGGTTGTACCCAAACCCTCTATTTTATATCATAAAAGTAGAAAATGTTTTCTATGGTGTGTAAAACCCCTATGGGCTTCTATTTTTAGAAGCAGTGTGAGGAAACTGCTAGATCTCTTTTGGTGTGATTTTACAAACTTACTATTTAAAGATGATAAATTTAGTGGATAAAAGAAAAAGGTTGTATGAGCAAAAACGGCTCTGAGAACTAAATAAGGTGTTTAATAAGTATATATTTTAATAAATTAATAGATTTAGTTGCATATAAATAAATATGATGTCAACTGTTTGAAAGGTTTGATTTGTCAACTAATTTTGTTCTCCCCTGTGTAAGGACAATTATATTTAAGAATAATGGAGGTAACATTTGAAAAACTTCTAAGTGATGCACACTATCCTCCTCATCCACCCTTTCTTAAAATACAACACAAACCAACAGCTACAATGCTTTTTATTTTAACAAAAATGGGAGAAGCAGGGTGAGAAAAAGAGGGGATGGTAAGAAAGGATGTGAAGTGTGGTGGGTCTCTGGACACCAGTCCGCTCTTCCTGCCCCACACCCAAGAGTTATTAAATAATTTAAAGGACACCATGTACAGTACCAGAACACCATCAAAATACTTGTTTTTATCAGGGTCCAAAAATACAGTGATTATGAATGTGCCGTGACTAGTTACGAGTTTTACAGGTAACAGAACTGTAGTCAGCAGTCCCACGGCCTATGCAGTGCCTTCGGGTAACGCGCTCGAGCACAACGACATTTCTGGCAGGGTCCACACCCCCAGGAAAAGGCAAAGCTAAGCATTTCATTTCTACATTCCAAACTCTGCAATCACAGAGCCCAGTTTAAAAGAAAGGTCACAGTGGATAAGAGATGCATATAAAAAATACAAGGTGTTCCTTTCAAATCAGAGGAATTGTGGGACTACATTCATTTCTTTTACAAAATGCTATTTAAAAAAGGACAGAGACTCCAGTTCATGTTATGCTACAGGCTTTGACAGTGAATAAGTATATTGCATGTTTTGGTAGTTAGTCTTCAGGCTTCCGTTCATCTATCCCCACAGCCCCAGGTTCCTTCAGAGTGAAACATGTGAGTCCTGAATAAACATATAAAAATGCATTTGCATCTCTCTTCTTGAACTCTGCAGACTTCAGAGCCTGCACGTCATATATTCTACCATCCATGACCACAATTGTTTTCTGTAGCTTTGTACACCTAGTCTTGTATAACAGTGCATTGCACAAATGTACAAGAAAATACTGGTTTTAATCTATACAGTTTCTATAATAATTATGGAGTAAAATAAGTTAACTTTTCTAATGAGAATAGCTGACAGGCAGCATACATCTTTATTTTACATTTTAAAGTCTCTGCAGGCATCTACTTTGGTTAGTTATCAACAATCGTAACATAAGCACTGATCAGAGAACTGAGCAGCATTCCAATAACGTTAACAGATATATTATTTCTTTTTTGAAATACTGGGAAAGCCCAGTTTTAAAATATTATTAAAATGTTCTAACATTTACACACTATGAAGAGTTAGAGCTAATAAAATAAAATTTCTTCAAAAATAATCTTGCAGCGCTCTTTCAGGCATGCTCTGAGACGTTATCACCAAACACCCATACCTTGAAAATATGACTATCACGTATTCACACATCCCAGCTCACACACACATACAATTCCTTATACAGACTAAAAAAAAACAAAAAACACCCACACCCTTAATCCCACAAGTTGGAAAAAAAAATCAATGGTTTTTGCAAATAAGTCTTTCTGTGTCTCTCCGACGGGATGTTCTTCATGTAGATGGTTAGGCGTCAACTGTAGACTCTGCTTGTGACTGCTAGCAGCAGTCCAAGCAGCTTTGCAGGTCTTCAGCCAAAACGAACCAGCCTCAATTTCAGCCTCATTTCACCTGCTTTCGAATGTCTCAGTATTAGAGGCCACTATTGCAAACATTCTTGCAGTTCTTTCCTTTCTCCAGAAAGTAATGTCTGTATTTGTATGCATCACTTTTAGCCCTTTTCTGTTCACGTAGGTTAAGTAATTTAAAAATCCCTTCTTCATACAGTTACTGTCAGAGGTATTGGCAGCTGTTAAACAATCCCCCCCCCCCCCCCTTTCAGATCTTTGATTCTGACACTTGATCAAGTTTGACATTAGTTACACTATGGTTGTGGATGCTGCCAGGAAAAGTTATCAGTGAATTGCAAGGGTTCATAAAAGGTGCTTGTTAAGTATTAATCATCGTCAGTTTCTTTCCTAAATGCCTGAAGTTTCTCAGAATCCAGTGCTCACCAAATTTCCCATTGATTTGGCCTGTGCGAGAAGCTGGTAGGATTGCACCATGCGTAGAGACTCTCTTATTTCCAGATTAAGTTCCATCAGCTTGTAGTTGGCTTCTGACATGTCCAGGTCAGA